AAAGGGTATTAAACAGAGTGTTTGGGAACCATCCTGTGTCAGAGCAACTTCTTGTTCAGCCAAGAAGTTTGTATTTGTTTGCCTGGATTAATTGGCAGTTCTTACGTTCGTGGTTTCAGGACTTTGTCGTGTTCTCATGGGATTTTGCTTTGCTGGTGCCTTCTTGAGTGACGAAAAGAGAAAGGGAAAAAAAGAGGGAAAAGGGGATCAAGAGGCAGATGGGAAAGCGACACGGGAGAGCCATTCCTTGCTCCTCTGATGAGGAAAGAGGGAGGGAAGGAGGGAAAGAAGAAGGAGGAGAAGTGAGGGTCCCTCTTTAAGGGACAAATAGTTGCTCTAGTAGGGAAACAAAGGCAAAACGAGTAAACAAAGCGCAACACGACAGCTAAGCAAACAAGGCCGTTGCATGTGTAAATAATAAATCGGCTGACAAGAGTTTGGCTGAGATTTGACATCACTGGAATACAAACCATTCCGTGTCAAGTTGTGAATTAATGGTTCTGGGTACACCGCATGGCAACGTTGCGCCATGGAGCCAAAGCACAACAGATTGCAAGAGTGTGCATTGCATGCATGCATGGTGCTAATCCCTGGGCAAAGCATAGGCCATATCCCCACAACAAAACTTTATTTGTATTCCGCTCTAGCTCCCTGAGGGGATTCAGGGTGGATTCCAGCATAACAATGGCAAACATTCAATGCCTACAAAAAAAAAACCCATAATATTAACATAAAATCCCAGGAAACTCCTCAACATATAAAAGTAACACCAAAGCCTAACGTCAAATTAAGGCATAACATCAGTAAATTAAACCTGACATCAATAAATTAAACTACAAGTAATCAAAATTCTATAATAACATAAATCTAAAGAAAACATCCACAAAATAGCAATAATCCAAAAATGGCAAAGTACACAAAGTTCAGAGAACCACAATCCACAGGAGTCATTCAGACAAAAATCCATGAGCAGGAAAACAGGAACTTTTCCCGAAACAAACCCTTCAGGAAACAGAGGCACAAACCAGAAGAGGAAACTTGAACCATGAACTTGAGAGCCGAGATAGGAAAGCCACCCACATGGCAATGCTGTCTCCTTGATTTAAGTCTGGCCAAATAGCCATGAGATCATGCCGAACGCACCTGGGCTTCAAGGTCTTCTCACGGATTCTCTCAGAACATCTAATTAGTCTATTTTTC